AGAGCTTATAATTTGGGGAAAGGAGAGACAGGATATTTAAAAAGTGGCTATAACACACAATTAAATCAATAGTTTGTTAGAAAGCATCGAGTGTTATTTTAGTCACCCAAATAATGATAGTGTTAGTCTCCTAGATAGTGATAATGATGATGATACCAACTCCCTATGATCTAAATATTTTGTCTATTATTTAAAGTTTATTAATTTACTCTTCACAGCAAACTCATGAGGCAGCTGCTCTTAATATCGGCATTTTACATATGAGGCAATTAAGGCCCAGAAAGATTAATTTTCCCAAGACCACACTAGGTACAGAGTGGAGCTGGGATTGCCTCCTGAATAAACTGCTAGATTGGCATAACCAGTCCCACCTCTAAGAGTTGTGAAGGAAATGCCCTCCACTGTCTGAGGCACTTCACATGCAACACCAGCAAGGGCAGAGTTTAAACCTTCATATTGCATTGACTGGGGAAGAAGAACTGAGAAGACTGTGTGGCATCAAGGAGAAGGAACAGCGGGTCCTTCTATAAAGAGGGAAAAGTAGACACTTTCTGATTTTCCAGCAGCAGATCTGGAGATTATTTCTATTACCCCTCTTACCCTGCTTTGGTTATTTCCCTCTTCATGTAGTCATCAACAGTGGTAGCAGAGATGCAGGGAAGATGAAATGTGGAGCTGATTAAATACATGGCAATGGCTCTGCTAAGTTATTTGGCTGGGGAAGAGGCTGTGACTGCAGTAGAGTGAGGATAAAGCCAGGCATTGGCTGCCAGGCTTCATGATGGTTGACCTGTCAATTCTCTAGAATTTCATTCTAGAACAGCAGCTATGTCAATCATTATAATGTCCTGAGGGTACATTTTAATTTTAATCAAGTTTGTCAAGTTTGTTTTTATCCTTTAATGTAATACACATTGTATGGGTATATTGTTTTTCCGGATTTTTCTAGGAGCAAAAAAAAGTGGGGGTGGGGATGGCCAACTCCATATAGATATCTGGTCAGAGGGTTACAGGAAGCTGTTAACTCTAGGTAAGCTGTGCTTTGAATTAGGTACTTCCATATAGTGGCTACAGCACAGATAGAGATTGCTTTTGTAATAAAAGATCCTCTTCACGTGTACCTGCCACCACCAATGAGAAGTACTAAACTCCAATAGTTTGATGTCTTGAATGGAACCAGCTGGATGCTCGTTTTCATTGCCGTGCAAGCCTGGATTAATTTGCTAGCTACAAACCACTATTTCTATTGAGTACTTACTATGTAGCAATTGTACTATGTAAACACTGTATATGCAGTATCATTTTTAACCTTCATAACAGTCCCGAGCAGGAGGTATTGTTATCCCAACTTTAGAGATGGCAGAACAGAAATTGAGAGAGAGAAAATACCTTGCTAATCTCTCCTCTTAGTAAGACCAAGATCCAAATGACATGGAAGCCTCAAGCTCTAAAGCTCTTTGCTATTCTATTCTTAGAGTCTCCTCAGGGAGTCAGAATTTCTGACTGGGAGATGACATGGAAGGTGATCTGATTCAATTCTCTACTTTATACATAAGTTGAGAGACTTGTCTAAGGACACAGGATGTGTAGAAACATATGGCCCAAAGCCAAAAAACAAATTCACAAGTGCGCGCCCCATATATGTAGTGATTTTGTATTGAGGAAAGAGTAGAAGGTGAGTTCTGGAATTTTGAAAGTTATTTTAAGGTAAATGTGGCAAGTTCACAAATTTGGGGACCAAGAAAAGAAGTCTAATTACCAACTAAAAGAGGAAAAGGAATGGTCGCCTGAAGTGGGTTTGAGGGTAGACCGACAAGAGGAAAACTGGGGGACAAAAAGAAAAGTGTGTGTGTGTATGTACACATTTAGCTTAAAATGACAGTGAAGTGGCCAGAAAAAAAGAAATCAAATGAAATGGCCAAGGGTTCAGGAAGAAGAAATGACTGGGCCTCTGCCTGATCAGATAGTAAGACCCTGAGTTGCTTATCTGGGGAGATGGGATGGGTGGAGAGGGAATCACTCATTTTCTGTTGTTTGTTTTCCTTCCATTTTGTGTAAAGCTAAAAATGCTGAGTGTCTAACTTTTGAAAGTTGGTCTATTGTTTCATTTTACTGAAAAAAAAAAAATAGAAGAAAAGGAGTCATTTGGATTTCCACACATTCCCCACAGGAACCTAAATTACAAGTAATACCAAAATCATCCTTTCAGTGTTTACTGCAAGCCAAAAACTTCCCTTTAAAATCTGATGAGAGCTAAATATAAATGCTATGACCACAGCTTTGCCTTTGGTTCCTGGGGCTGCCTTTCTGGGACCCCTGGGGTGGGCAGGACAAGACGCTGAACTTTGCTGAAAGCAAGTTTGCCTTTAGGCCTTCATGCTTTCCATTTTAGTGGCTTCTGCCTCCTTCTGAGGGCCTACCATGAACACCCCATCCCTACACTGGCCCTACATGCTAGACTTACCCACTTCTCTGCCTGACTTGTCCCTCTTAACCAAAGAGCCTACTAGTCTTCAGTCTTTTTCTCTTTTGCTTCCCAAAATATCAGCTCTTGACCTCAGAACCCTGCTCTCAACAATCTTACAAACCCATTTACACTAAGTTTTGTTCATCAGTGAGTTGAGCATTTCAATTTCTCAAAAGCATTTAATTCCCTACACCATATCCCATCCCCTTTAAGTAGGAGACATAATGCTTTACGCAGAATAAAACATCCCATCTAACATAAATGTTAGAATCATGGGCATTTTGGAAAGGTAGCATGCTTACAATTCTCTGATCTTGGTCTTATTTCACAAATCTGTACTTTTGCACAAGCTGTTTTCCTATGTAGACTGTCTTCTCACTCTAATTAGCCTATCTAATGAAATTCCTGCTAACTGCTCATAAGCCTTCCTAACACGATCTCTACCCAGAAAACTTTCTCTGATTATTCTAAAACTGTGTTAACACAGGAGCCACTGACCATGGGATGCTCTTGAGCATCTGAAGTGTGACTAGTCCATTTAGTGAGGCACTAAAATGCACATCAGATATGTAAGAATTGTGTAAAAAAATGATGAATCACAAGGTCAGGAGTTCAAGGCCAGCCTGGCCAATATGGTGAAACCCCTTCTCTACTAAAAATATACAAAAATTAGCCAGGCATGGTGGCAGGCACCTGTAGTCCCAGCTACTCGGGAGGCTGAGGCAGGAGAATCGCCTGAATCTGGGAGGCGGAGGTTGCAGTGAGCTGAGATCATCACGCCACTGCACTCCAGCCTGGGCGACACAGTGAGACTCCATCTCAAAATAATAATAATAATAATAAAATAAATAAATAAATTTTAAAAATTGTTATATTGATTGCATGTTGAAATGACACTATTTTGGATACAATGGATTGAGGAAATATATTATCAAAATCAATTTCATCTTTATTTTTACTTAAGTGGCTACTATAATTTTTTCTTTTTAATTTTTTAATTGAGACAAAATATACACATATAATTTACCACCTTTAAAATTTTTACGTGCACAGTTCAGTGGCAATAAATATATTTGTATTCTTTTTCTCCCTCTTCACCACTGTTCCCCCACTTACCCTGGGACAAAAACATTTAAAATTACATCTTTGGCTTCTGTTTGGCTTGTATTAGATTTCTATTGGATAGTGCTGCCCTAAAGACCAGTGGTTTTGAACCTGCAGGGGGAGAGGGATAGGATGGCTAAATTGTCTGGATGTCTGTTATAGTGCATATTGGAGTGAAATAAACTATGTTTCTGATATATATCAATAATATACCCAGATAATCAATGAAGAGCAAACGTATTTGGGTCTTTGGTGTTCTATCAAGGACTATTCATCTTTTGTTAATTTTGCTGCAATCCTCATTTTCTCCCCACCTACCCTTAACCCTGGGGATGAAGGAGACACAGTGTGGGTCTTTTGTTCAGTTGATCAATTCCTAGACTGAGCAGACGAGGTATAATATGATCCAGTTAATCATTAACAACTGTGGGAAAAAAAGGAAGAAGAATAAAGGACGCTTATATCAGCTGCCACATGCACTGCTAAGCATTTTAACATAACCAGAATTTCCTGACCTGTGCTCAGTGGAACACAAGTTCTGAGGGATTTTCACAGTGTTGTGTTGGGAGTGGGGAGGAGAAAGGAGATTCCATGGTGAAATCAGACTGGAAAATGCTGGCCTAAACAAAGTTAACCAGCTTTCTTTATTGCAGTACTTTGCAGAAACTTTAATGTGCCTTGAAACATTGTGATCGCTCAAAAGGGAAAACACGAATTGTTTCCCAGCTTATTTGATCATAAAATTCTTTCTTGAGAAACACCTATCATCATGTCTGGTTGGTAAATTTGTCATAGACAATGTCGTTTAACATGCACTTCACAAGGAGGACCCTGTGGCTTAAGAATTTAAGTGACTTGCCCAACATTGCAGTGTTACACAACTCATTACTGGCTGAGCCAAAACTCCAAATTCACATTTACACCATAGGAAAGAATTAACTGTGGTCAGAACAGGCAAATACCATCAAGAAAAATTCTCAACACGCATAGAAATATGTCTGAAATGACTTAGTTGCTTTCCCTGCTACACCCCGAGCTCACTGCCCCTCAGTTCATTTTCTGCTTCTACTGTGTTCTCCCTGGATGAAAGAGATCTCTCCTCTTCTGAATTTTTTAGTACTCTTCCTGTGGGTCTTGGCACATATTGCTTTATTCTTAATTTTGTATATGTATACTCTCCAAACAGATTAGAGGCTTGCAGTGGTATCACTTGAATTCCCTACTGTGTGTCTTGCATGTAGCAGGAACTCTATAGAACTTTCTCAGTTTATTAATTACCAGCCCTCCCAGCTTAGCTATTGATGGCTTGTGGTGTCTTTTTACAGTATCTAAATGCTACAAAAACATTAGCTCTTGGTTCAGAGATATCATGGGTTCACCTAGGCTGCCAACTGTGTATCAAATAGCCTGATGTTGAACACTGACATACCTGTAAAATGCAACTCATGATATCAGATGCAATTTTTGCATGAGGAGTGTCTTCATCTTTCCCGAAGGGTCTCAGGTTATGTTCCAAGCAGGAGTCCCAGAGCCCCACAAGGGCCTTTGCATGCTTTTCAATAGATTCAGTCTCTCTGATGGCTGTTGTGATTCTTGTGATACAGATTTCAACTACTGCCTGGTCATTGTTATTGGTTTGGTAATCCTGTTTGGAAAGAAAATCTTCATATTAAATAATACTCTAGAAAGTTATCCTTCAAAGGAGAAAATACTAACTCAGTCATTTAGAAAATGGGTGCACCAGGCTGTGTGCCAAGGGGTGAGGGTGTTAAGCCTAATACAGTAAAGGCTTTCTTCCTTGGAGATCCTAATCTTGTGGAAGAGGCAGATACTCAAACATGCTAAAATGGAGCAGGTTCTACTATCACCCTTAGACAGGGATCCCTGAGAATCCACAGGCGCTTAACTATTCATTTGCAAGTGGGTTTAATCTTTAGACTATTTCGGTTTCTAAGTCCATTACAGGGCAGGGGTTACTTTTTACTCTGACATTTCAGCAACTTTTGTGAAATGTTTCAAATTACCCTTCAATTTCCCCTCATTAGTTTTCTCCCTCTTTCTGGACATAATGGAACACATCATTTCATCTCTCCCTTTTCAACTCAGATAACTACAAAACCCATTTTAGCTTTCCCCAACCAGGTTTTCCTCCATTCCCCTGTTTTAATTCTCCCTCAAATACCTGATCATCTTTACTGAGAAATAATGTTTTTTGGACCCCCAAAACATCTAAATGTTAAAAACAGGCCCATTGCATTAATTTGGAAAATTGGTCTGACTGTGAACTTCACATGGTGGACTCACAAAACTGAAAACATAATAGAGCAGGAAAGTATTTAGAACCTGACATCATCATGTGAGATTAGAGATGGGAAACGACGGGGTTTTTCGGCCTACACCAAACTCCAATTGTAACAATTTTCTGTTGCTGTTGCTATAACTAATAGGGCAGTAAACATCTTGTGCATGAAGCTCTCTCTACATTGCAAATTATTTATATACTAGAGCCTCCAGAAGTGAAAATTTCTGAGACAAAGGACAGGAACATTTTTAAGGCTCAAATTAGGTATGCTGAACTATGTTCCAGAAAGGTTTTACGAATTTGAACTCCCTCTAGCTGGGTAATAGCATGATCTTATTGTACACTTACAAGAACAGAGTATTTATAATATTTCTAATTTGTTAGTGAGAAACAGTATCTTATTGCTATTTTGCTTAGGAATTTCTTTGCCCAAAAGTGAGGTTGAATGCTTCTGTGTTTATGGGCTGTTTGTATTTTCTCCTTTGGGAACTAACCATTGTACCTTATGTATATTTTTCTTTAGGTGACCTCATTTTTTTTTTTTAACCTTCTTTGGTACAATATATTTTTCTATTAAGGATAATAAGTGAACATTTGACATTTGGCTGCAAATATATCTCCATGTTTCATCATCATTATTATTATTATTATTATTATTATTATTATTTTGCTGCTATTCAACGACATCCTAAGATGTTAAGTAATTAAATTTGTCAATTTGGGGGGCCTCATTGTTTTTCCTTTTCTAAATCGGACACTTAAGTTGTTTACATTGTTTTTGAAAGGTAATACATAAACATGGTACAAAAATTCAAAAGCTGCAAAGAAAGGGTTTACAGTGAAAAGTTAATCTCCCTGTCAGTCCTGTTCCTCATCCATCCCAGTCCCCTTCCTCAGTGGGAGCCAGGCTCAGCAAATCCTTATGTTTTCACAGAGGCATTCTAAGCACATGCAGATATCATCCACACATTCTCCTTTCTTTCTGTGTGATTCCTGTAACAGATTTTTGTTTAACTTCAAGTTTTCCTTATTCAAAAGTTGAATAAAAATCATCTCTACTTTTTTCCAGATTAAAAAGAACTTTACAAAACACTCAACATTTATTACTCTAGAAATTCATCTTTTAACCATTTGTTAGCTCTTAAATCTATCTGGTATTTATGGAAATAAGTAGACATGTACATTTTCTTCTAAATAGCTAACTTAATCTTCCTGCTACCATTTAGTGAATAATTCATTTCCTGGTAATTGTTTTAAATATATCAGATTCTATTTCAGGGCTGTCTTTTCTGTCTGTCATTTCTCAATTATTTTACAATGCTAATTTTGCAACTTTCTCTATATAAGCTTCAGAAATTTTTTTAAACTTTTATTTTAAGTTCAGGGGTACATGTGCAAGTTTGCTATTTCGGTAAACTCACGTCACGGGAGTTTGTTTTACAAGTTATTTTGTCACCCAAGTATTATGCCTAGTACTCATTAATTATTTTTTCTGATTCTCTCCTTCCTCCCACCATCCATCCTCTGATAGGCCCCAGTGTGTGTTGCTCCCCTCTATGGGTCCATGTGTTCTTATCATTTAGCTCCCACTTAAAGTGACAACATGCAGTATTTGTTTTTCTGTTCCTGCATTAATTTGCTAAGGATAATAGACTCCGACTCCATGTTCCTACGAAGAACATGATCTTGTTCTTTTTTATGGTTGTGTAATATTCCATGCTGTATATATACCACATTTTCTTTATCCAGTGTACCATTGATGAGCATTTAGGTTGACTCTATGTCTTTGCTATTGAGCTTCGCAAATTTTTAACTGTGTTTCCTAGTGTATTTTGTCTTTTTGTTGTTGTTGTTAACAAAATATTTTTTTCTCATTAGAACTTTTAATTAGTTTTTGCTGATTAAATGAACCTATTGGGTTTTTTTGTTTTCTTTCATTTTGTTTTTTAGATGGAGTCTCACTCTGTCACCCAGGCTGGAGCGCAGTGGTGCAATCTCGGCTCACTGCAACCTCTGCCTCCGCAATTCAAGCAATTCTCCTGCCTCAGCCTCCCAAGTAGCTGGGATTACAGGAGCGTGCCACTATGCCCGGCTAATTTTTTGTATTTTCAGTAGAGACGGGGTTTCACCACACTAGTCAGGATGGTCTCGATCCCTTGACCTCGTGATCTGCCCACCTCAGCTTCCCAAAGTGCTGGGATTACAGGCTTGAGCCACCATGTCCTGCTTTTTGTATTTATTTTGTAACTTGCTGTTTAGCTTAACTATACTTAATTATGATAAATTTTCAATTCATCATATTAGGTTTTCTAGAAAGATTTTTGTGTTTTATGCAGCCTTTCTGAGATCTATATATTTTATATATCCCGCGACTTATTATGTTGGCTAGAATATTCTATGCTAGTTCACATAAAAGTAATTAGAACAAGAATGCTAGCTTAGTTCCTAGTTTTGGTTCTTGATTTTTGGCATAAAATTTTATGGTCAAAACCAAAAAAAAAAAAATACAGTAAATGTTTTAAATCATATAGAATGCATCACTTTCCATTTTCAAAGTTTATATACTTGATTTAATTTCCCTAGTAAGCATTATGCTGGCTTTTTGGGTGAAAGATTTTATAACATTATAATTTACAATATTAAAGAGGTATCAATCTATTGCTATTTTATTGAGTTTATTTTTAAGTAAAGAATAAATTGTGAATTTCATTAAATGCCTTTTTAGCATCTATAGATATATCAAATATTTTTGTCCTTAGATCTATCAATATGATAAATTACAGAAACAAATTTCTCAATATTAGTTAACTTTGCATTCCTGGAACGTGTTGTACTGGATCTTGGGAAATAATTTTTTAATGTGCTGCTAAATTCTGTTTTTAATATTTTATTTAAAATTTTTCGCATCAATATTTGGTCAGGTTTCATATTAATTTTATGCTAATTCCATAAAAGGATTTTGGAAGATTTAAGCTCTCTATAATCTTACTTATTATTTGACCTTACAGTGGCCCAACAGAAGTGAATTAACATTTCCTGCAACTAACGTGTCTATCTGTTTTTACTGGTATCTCCTGGAGTTTTTCTTTTGTGAATGTTATTGCTATGTAATTTAACATAAAGATATTGTTAATCTTTATAACTCTTGTGAACTGAATCCATTAAAAAAACAAAGTGCTTTATTTTACTGAATGCTTCTGGCATGAATTTTTTTCTTATCTGACTAAAGAACATGATCCCTGTTCCTTTTGGTTTACATTTTCCTCATATCAGTTGCCTATTTTATTCTTATTTTTAAAATTTCTTTTATAGCCTATATTGTATCAAATGAGTCGTTAACTCTCTTTATATAACTTTCTAGGAAACAATTTCGTAGCATTATTCAACGATTCTTAATAGTACAAAATATGCCTAGTATATAGGGTATACAGAAGTCCTTCATCATCGTCTGGGTCCAAACGATTCTATCATAATCAACAATATAAGCATAGTGGAGCTACATGTAGACCTCACTGGGCTTCACTTGAGAACAGAGGGCCCTGCCTTAGCAAATGAGTGGGCAAACTGTTTCTCACAATTTTAAGCAAAGAGGATTAGTTTTGACTGAGCATTGATTTTCTGTGTCAAAGGATCATTTTCTGTGCTTTATCTGTGAATCTGGCATGGTATGTTAAAAAAAAAAAAAGAAAAGAAATAGCCTATATATTAGGTTTGAATATGTGATATGGTTTTGTGGTAAACATCAAAATGATTGGCTTTAATTTGAATTATTCACATGTGTTTTATAGTCAAGTAAATCATTGTTTAATTTTGCACCTTTTTATTTTAGATTTTCTAATTTTTAATTTTTGGTTTTTTTCCAGACAGGTTCTCTCTGCCACCCAGGCTGGAATGCAGTGGTGCCATGGCTCACTGCAGCCTCACCTTCCTGGGCTCAAGGGTTCCTCCTATCCCAGCCTCCTGAGTAGCTGGGATTACAGGTGCATGCCGCCATTCCCAGCTAATTTAATTTAATTTTTTTTTTTTTTTTTTTGTAGAGATGGAGTCTTGTTATTTTTCCCTGGCTAGTCTTGAACTCCTAGGCTCAGGTGATCCTCCCCACCTTGGCTTTCCAAAGTGCTAGGATTGTAAGTGTGAGCCACCATGTCCAGCCTATTTTTACATTTTCTAAGTCATTAAATATATGTCTCTTCTTTGCTGAATTTGCCTGGTGATCTAATCTAAAAGTCTTTTTTAAAAAAATAGGTGAGTTTTACCCTTTATATAAAGTGATATGATGGGTACATTTGGCTTTAAATATGTCATATTAGCTCATATTATGCTTGAGTGTTTTCTTAACTTTT